TCCATGACTCAGTTTCACCTCAGATTTCCCAATTATGAATTAAGTTTTCCTGGTTTCTGGATTGCAGGAGGAATTATCCAAGGTTTCTTTAAAAGAAAAGTGGCCTGGAAGGGGTTGGGAACAATATTGAGAGTATCATGAGTTACATTGTGAAATTATTGTGGTGGGTTTAAAACAGCCGCGAGGAACCTGCAATCCTAATTCTCCATGCCAGGCCTCCCCATTTGATCATTAAGGCCACTTTGGCCAAGCCACGGCCACATGAGGTGTGGGGCAGGCATTTGCAGAAAGCTTCTTGTGCAGCATTTTGCAAGACCTACCCCCATCAGTGGATCATCAGGGCTTGAAAACATGAGTGGAGGGAGAATAGTTGGATGGTTCAGAGATTGTGCTGTTTGGCTTCCTTTTTTATAAGGAAGAGGCTGGGCTGGCCTGAGACCTCGGCCAGTGAAGAAAGAGTAGGTGAAGATGTACATCAGGAGCAAGGAGGTGAGAGAAGACCTATATTCATTGATATAGAGATAGCAATGGACCGGGATGCCAAGGAGGTGGTAGTTTCAGCCTCCAAAAAGTGCATCACGGCTGTCACTGCCACCACAGCAGCAGCGGTGAGCGGTTCATTCCTCCAAGGCCAGATCCCTGTGGATTCTGCTGCCTGAGATGGTTGCCACACCTTGCCTCATGGGTAGGCCGGCTTTGGGAGGAGGTAGAGTCCTGAGCAAAGAATGATTGCAGGGCAAGCTATCCTAGGAGACAAATTTAGGGAGACACTGAGGATTTTCAAAGTGGGTATGGATTAGGTAGCGGAAGGAAATGATGCCAGAGGAGGCGGGGAAGAGGATGGGCTTAAAATATACAAAATATACAAAGTCACTGCAATGCCCTTCAGCTTCCTCCAGAGATGATCAGGAGAATGGAGCCTCTGAAGAAAGGATGAGGATTAGTGGGGGTGATATTAGGTAATTAACAGGATTCAATTAATTATAACTTCTTGACTTTTAACTATTATAAGAAAGCAATTTGGCTATCAACCCAGAAAGGTTTCGCAGGAAGCGCTGAGTGTCAGAGATGCTGAGAGAAAGCTGTACTCTGTCTGTCGATGGCCGGAAAGAGAAATATGATTTTGAGATTACATACAATTTTCTTTTCCTTTCTAATCCATTGGCAGCCTGGGCTATTTTAGATACCGTCTCTTATCTGGCTTTTTCAACCTGCTTCTCCAGGGGATCTTTATGCAGGGAGCGGGGTTTACTTTTCAAATATATACTTTGAAATTTCATTTTATTTTTTAAAGAAACATAGGTCTCTGAGAAAGGGTTGATAAACTGTGTTCTAAATAGACAAACACAGAAACATAGACCAAAGGCAGACTCTGTCGGGAGATGGCAAAGTTTAATTTTCAGAAAGCTGGGTTTTTAATTTGACACACAGTATGCCATCCAGTCATGCAGCAAAGTTCTGGGCAGGGGACCCACAAGAACAACATGGTATCGGCTTTTTCTCAGCACTGGAAGCAAACCCATAATATTCCTTTAAAAGGGGAGAGAAAGAAGGGGACATTAATGCTGGATACCAAATCTGTTCCAGTTCTCAGATCTCCCCATCTCTTATGAAAGTCCTGAAGAGTTTGAAGTTTCTGCTTGTGGGGTTACTTCTAAATCCCCCCCTCATATATATATATATATATATATATATATATATATATATATATATCAAAAACTTACTTTAGAAAGACATCACTTTTTGGCAAGTTCATAGGAAAGGATGAGATGTACATCTTGGTGCAGCATCCATGCAAAATGATCAAATGTTATTTATTTTTTACTTAAAGAGAAAAAAGAGGGGAATCAAAGTTATTTTGAGCTTCTGATCTGTAAATCAGTGTCCTATTTAAAGAAATGCATTACCAGTTTGCTGTTTTTAAATTGGTCCAACGTACAGCATTTTTTTTTTTGCCATCTGGATTTTTTTAAAAACATTACTATTAATAATTCCATCTACAGTGTTTTAAATGTACCTTTGTTTAAGTACCTCTCTGACAGATGTACAGTACAATGTCCCTGAGAGATCACACATCCTTTGTTAATCTCATTTAGATAATCACATGTTTGAGCTCAAATACATTTCCATACACTGTATATGTGAGCAGTGCGATCCTGAGCACATTTATTCAGAATAAATGGTACTGAGACCAGGGCGGACTAGTCTCTAGTAACTGTGCTTAGCACTGCAGCCTTAATGTCACAAGCTCTTAATCATGCAATTAGTAAGGATGGGGGAGAAATTTAATTCTGTTTGTAAGTGAACCTACCAAATGTTCACTTTCTGAAGCAGCAAGAGAACTGAAACACCATTCCAAGTTCACACTTTTCTGATTCTTGCAGTGCAAGAATTTCCAGCCAAGTAATGTGTTCAAAAAGCACATGATAAAGCAACATGTACTGTATATCTATTATTGTACTGCAACATGTATATCTATAACATGTACTGCATCTATTATTGAAAATAGGGACGCGGGTGGCGCTGTGGGTTAAACCACAGAACCTAGGACTTGCTGATCAGAAGGTCGGTGGTTCGAATCCCCGTGACGGGGTGAGCTCCTGTTGCTCGGTCCCTGCTCCTGCTAACTTAGCAGTTCGAAAGCATGTCAAAGTGCAAGTAGATAAATAGGTACCGTTCCGGCGGGAAGGTAAACGGCGTCTCCGTGCGCTGCTCTGGTTCACCAGAAGCGGCTTAGTCATGCTGGCCACATGACCCGGAAGCTGTACGCTGGCTCTCTCGGCCAATAAAGTGAGGTGAGCACCGCAACCCCAGAGTCGGCCACGACTGGACCTAATGGTCAGTGGTCCCTTTACCTTTACCTTTTATTATTGAAAATAACATAGAGAAATACATCATCTTATGAGAAATTGTTAGGGTTTTTTTTGGGGGGGGTGTTATATTAGATGAAATTCACACTAAAATCTGACATATTTTCATGATGAGTGCTTTGTACAAATAAAACCCAAACAGATGTGGAAATGCGTAGACCTGAATTCAAGATTGGAAAAACGAGAAACTGGGGAAAATTGAAATTGACAGATTTGCAGACCCCCCCAGTCATGGTTCATGAATAAGGATACACCCCTATGCACACTTGCTTGGGAGTGAATTATGATTGCTTGGAACTGAATTCCATGTTACATGTGTATGCTTGAACCTACATGCATGTCCACACTGCCTGAGAAACTCAACATATCCTTCTGAGAGGGACAAAACCTTTTGTGCAGAGTCAAAATCATGCATTGTTTGACTGTGTGCATATTCATAACCCTCATATCCATTAAGATCTTCACCACCAAGAACTAGGAAAATAATGGTTTATTACATGGGGAAAGGAAATACATATGCATAGCTTAAAACAGAGAGTTATGATGTTATCACATGTGGGCTGCAAATAACCCATAATGCATCCACATACTTAATCTTATGAAGAGTCCCAATCTACCAAAAAGCCTGGAGAGTAAGCACAACTTTTGTCCCAGACTCACACTAAGAAGAGATGAAAAGTAGAATGAGATTTTAACCTGATTCTGTAATACGCATAACACAAAGTCAGGAAACAGAAATCTGTGCCTTTTTGAGAACTAAGCTCTCCCCTTAAAATCTTGTGCTCATTCCCATTGTTGGAGCAGAGCGTGCCAATTTACCTTGACAAAATATATAATTTAAATATATTTTGGGTCTAAATCCTATACAAAAGTCATGGGGTTAGCTTTGGTACACAAGTGATATGACATGATTTTAATTGTTGGAGGAAGGATGTCAATTGTTTTGTAATGTCACAGACAAGCTAGAAGCTGTATCAGAGTCAGGAAATTCACAAGGGGCCAATTTTAATATTGATTAATGCAAGCAAAGCCAATAGACTGATCTATCAAAATGGGCCAGGTAAAGTTTTATCCTTACAAGATAGAATTAGATAGCTAGATAGGTGATTAGATTTAGATTAGATTAGATTAGATTAACTAGAACAATTGGGTCCATAGAAAGTAATGGGACAAGTTAGTTGAAACAAATTAAAGTCCCATTGGTTTAAATGGTACTTATAGTCCAATTATATGGAAGTTCTTTTACTGTTTTATATAAAAATATAACAAAAATATATAGTCCATTCCTCCAAAATAAATTACAACTAATGTCTACATCAGGCGTCCTCAAACTATGGTCCACAGGCCAGATCCGGCCCGCCAGGTCCTGAACCCGGACGGCCCATCAATTGCAGAACCCGCAGTGCTCCTCCTTCCTGTTGCCCGGATGGCCACAGCCAACGCGAGCTTCTTTCCCTCTGAACTGCTACTACTGCAAGGGGCTGGGTCCAATCCCTTCCGGCTTCTCCTCAGACCACACTCTCCAGCCCCATCCACATCCCACTCAGCGTGTGTGTGCATGGGTGTGCCAGGGAGGGGGTGTGTGCATGTGTGTGAGAGAGTGAGACGCTGCTGGCATTTGTGGCAGCTCCCTCAAACTGCTGGGAAGGGACCACCAGTTCAGTGGCGGCCTCTGTGGCGGTGACCACAATCCCCCCCTCCTTGTCCGGCTTTTCCTCCACACACACACCTCCTCCTTCTCCTCAATTGCCAGATGAGGTGGGTCTGAAGCGGGAGGGACTGGCCCATGGACCAGCCGGGCCTGGAGCCAAGCCCAGAAGAGCCACTGCCACCGCCGCGGAAGGCCTGTGGAGATGCGAGCATAGCGCGAAGGCACAGCGGCCAACACCAGTGCTGCAGCCGGCCCGGGGTACTGGGTTTCTCATCAGAGGGCACTGAGGGAGGAGCAGCCAGATGCTACCACTGCTGCTCCCCAGAGTCTGTGGTGCCACCTCTTTCCTTTCCTCCCTCTTACTTAGTCACGCTCCTCTCTCTCTCTCCCCCCATCATATCCCCCACTGAAATACTTACAAGTTTATGTTGATTAACATTGTTCCTCATATTAAATATTGTGTTGTTTTTCCTGTTTTTGTGCAGTAAAATATGTGCAGTGTGCATAGGAATTGGTTCATATTTTTTAAAACTATAGTGTCTGAGGGACAGTGGACTGGCCCCCTGTTTAAAAAGTCTGAGGACCCCTGGTCTACATTATCAAACTTTTCCTACAATGAAAAGCAACATTATGGCCAAAGTAACAAGAGATACTTGTAGCTCCTCACATTTATTTTCCTACCTACAAGATTGGTAGTCCCGAAAGCCAGCAACCAGCTGTGCTAGTTGGAACTTTAAGTTTCCCATCTTAAAACACTCACTCGTATCCAAGCCAAGCCCACTGGTTTGTCAGATGTGCACTTGGGAGTCAAACTTAAAGAGTACAGGAGACCCAGATGCTGAGAAATCCGCATAGATGTTTTTCTGCTTCTGATTTCCTTACCCCCCTCCCCCACTTTGGCATTGCAGTAGGAGAAAGATCTGTTATCAAATCAAATAACTAGGAATATATACCTGATGTGGAGAAGATTTAACAGCATGTTAAGTGCAGGTCTATCCTCATTCACTGCAATATATTATGATGGCAAATGTGAAATCAAGGATTTATTCAGTGACACAAGATGCTATGGAAATGATAGGGCTCAGGACCATAATGAAGGAGGGATTCATAAAAACCTTTTAGCAGCGAAAGGGGATTTGGCTCAAGTACCGCTGCCATTTCTTCTATCTATATCTCCATTAGAAACATTACATATAGATCATCAAAGTTTCATGGCTCTTTAAGAAACTAGACATGTTTAATCTTGACTGCCGGTCAATGGAGTGGAGTATTATAAGGGAACTATAAGCTAATTGTTAATTTAGAACCATCTGGAAATTATTATCTTGCAAGATCGGAGCTAGGCATGTCAATGCATAAAACTTGTGTGTGTGTGTGTGTGTGTGTGTGTGTGTGTGTTACTAACTAGGTGGTATTTAACTCCAGCTAGATTGAACAAGTTTTATCCTTGGATTAGTGATCAGTGTTGGTAAGGCAAGGCTAATTTATTTCATGATTTATAGGCGTGCCCAATAATCAAGATATTATACAACAATAACAAGAAAGAACTTTATGACAGTAAAAGCTGTTTGAAGGTGGAATGGACTCCGGGGGCCACTAGGGGCGCATCGGAAGATGGCTGACAATAACATCTCTCCGACCCACAGGAGGTAATTAGGAGGCTGTGATGGGAGTAAATAGCCTCCCTACCCCCCCATGGCTGTGGGGGGGGGGGCTGCCCTTGCCTGCTGTGCCCTATACCACCCCCAAATTTGTGGGGATGGGGGCACAAGGCAGAATGCCCTCCTGTGGATCTCGGTACTCCTGGACGCTGTCTCTGATCCGCGCCGCTAGCTGCAAGAACTTCAAAAGGAACAATTAGGAAGAAGCGAATGCACATATTTCAAGGAAGGAGGGGGAGTAAAGACTGCTAACTGAAGAGTTCTCTGATAAACAAGACGAGTCGGAGGAACAAGAATCAATCATGAAAAGATATGCCAAGACTCGGTGTGGCAAAGGGACTGGATGGGGGAGGGAAAAAAAACTGTCCTTTCTTTCCTCTATGTGATTAAACAAGAATCCCCCCCACACACAAGTCAGAAATGCCATTTTAATGACTTAAGCTGTGGATTTACGACTGTGTGGAGATAAATTTTCTAACCAAAGCATGTTTTAAGAAGAGCGTGGAAGTTTAAGAGCTTTGGAATGACGCAGTTAAAAATACCGTTGCCATGTTGGCAAGCTCTGTCAGAGGATTTGAGTCTGGGAGGAGCAAAAGAGCTGTTTTTATATTGTGGGTGAGACTCTTCAGTGGGCCTTAAGAACGACAGATCCTGAGATTAAAGATGGAAAGAGCGAGGTTATTTATGAAAGTGATGATATATGGAAACCATCTCGATATGAGGATTGGACGAACGGAAAAATTCCCACAGGATATAATTGGTGTTTATCTGATTAAGGAGATTATCAGAAGAGATCATAAATAATAAATAAAAAATATACAAACAAGATGAGATGTGGAAACAGCAAGAGAAGACTGGATAGAATTATGAACTTTATTTGGACTGATTTGGATATGAACGCAGTAGCAAGAAGATGATCGGAATCCCCCTTCGGAACTTGAAATATGGGTCCCCTCAACAAAAATTTAAAATTCGGTTTTGTAATTTGGAATTTATGTGATTTGATTGGATTTGATTGGTAGGTTAATAAAAATTATTTTTTAAAAAAGAAGAAGGTGGAATGGACTCCCTCAGAAGGTGGTGGACTATCCTTCATTGGAAGTTTTTTTTAGCAGAGGTTGGATAGTCATCTGTCATGGATGCTTTAGATGAGATTCCTGCATCGCAGGGGGTTAAACTAGATGACTCCCAACTCTACAATTCTATGATTCTATGAAGAGCAATAACAACAACAGCAACAATACAATATAGGGTCAAGGTGTTCCTAAAGATCCTCATGTAGTATTGTTCAGATAACTTAAAAGCATAGTAATGGACAAGGATTTTGAAATAATAGTTCGTTTGATGTCTGCAACTAAAATGACAATATGGCACAATAGGGGGAAATCAAGTCTACTTTTTATTGACTTGTGGTTGGCTAACATTTGGGACTGCTTATGGGATGAAACTGAATAGGGTAAGGGAAAAATAAGACAATGGGCTGTAGCTACTCAAGAGAAGGTTCAATGGCATTAATGAACCTAAGCTAGTCTTGTCCATTGACTTCAATGGGTCTACTCTGCATGAGACGAGCACTGCACACGACCATATGATTTAGGGTGCCCTTCTTTACTAGAGTAACAAAATTCAAGATTTCATGCATCCATATTCTTTACTGGGGAAAATGTAGTGAGAAAGTATAAAGTATTAAACAGTGGTACCTCAGGCTACAGATGCTTCAGGTTACAGACGCTTCAGGTTACAGACTTTGCTAACCCAGAAATAGTACCTCGGGTAAAGAACTTTGCTTCAGGATGAGAACAGAAATTGTGCGGCAGCGGCGCAGTGGCAGTGGGTGGCCCCATTAGCTAAAGTGGTACCTCAGGTTAAGAACAGTTTCAGGTTAAGAATGGACCTCCAGAACGGATTAAGTTCTTAACCAGAGGTACCACTGTATGACTTGACTAATGGCAAATCTACCATGTAAATCTGCCCAATTCTCTGATGAGTTCCTACTAGACGATAAGATTCCCAGTGTGACTTTGGCTGTTGCCAAGTTTCTGTCTGAAGTGGTCAGGATCAGAGATCAATTTGTATTAAACGAAAGTCAGAAACAAGCATAGTTTATGATTTGTCCTAGTAGTCTGTGTGTTTTCAGTGTATTTTATATGCACTGAATTTTGTCTTGTGGGTCTTTACAATAAAGAATTGTTGTTGGTCTTACTTGGTATTACATAGTTTTGTCCACAATATCAGTATTATTGGATTATCCGGATATCCCCAGCCTATGTGGACAGACTCCTCCGAGCTGGAAAGCCCACCACCTGTCCTCTCGACCTGTGCCCGTCTTGGCTGATTAGAGCGTGTCCAGACGAGGTGCGGGCCCTCCTGGGGGATATCATCAATTTGTCCCTTGGCACGGGGACATTCCCAGGGGAACTGAAGGAGGCAGTGGTGCGCCCGCTCTTAAAGAAAACATCATTAGATCCTTTAGATCTATCCAATTACAGCCCGGTTTCGAATCTTCCGTTCCTGGGTAAGGTGATTGAGAGAGCGGTTGCCGAACAGCTTGGTGGGTTTCTGGATGAAACATCGGCTCTGGATCCAGTCCACTCCAGCTTCCGCGCTGGTCATGGGACCGAGACGGCTCTGGTTGCCCTAACAGATGATCTTCGTAGACAGCTGGATCGAGGCGGGTCGGGGCTGCTGATTCTTCTAGATCTGTCAGCAGCTTTCGACATGGTCGATCACGAACTCCTGGACCACCGCCTTGCCGACGTGGGGATCCAGGGCACAGTCCTTCAATGGCTGCGCTCGTTTCTCTCTGGTCGGGGACAGAGGGTGGCGCTTGGGGGGGAATTGTCATCGCGCCACTCCTTGGTGTGTGGAGTACCTCAGGGTGCGATACTCTTCCCGATGCTTTTCAACATCTTTATGCGCCCCCTCGCCCAGCTTGTCTGGAGTTTTGGGCTGGGTTGCCATCAGTATGGCGATGACACCCAACTCTATCTGTTGATGGATGGCCATCCTGACTCGGCCCCAGACACACTGACCAGATGTTTGGAAGCTGTGGCTGGATGGTTACGTGGGAGCCGGTTGAAGCTAAATCCTTCGAAAACAGAGGTCCTGTGGCTGGGACGGGACGATATGGGATTGTGGGGGCAACTCCCATCTCTTGCGGGGCGCAATTAGCGCCAGCACCGTCCGTTAAGAGTTTGGGTGTAATCTTCGACACCTCCCTTTCCATGGAGGCACAGATTGCAGCTATAACAAAGGCGGCATTTTTCCATCTCCGCCAAGCTAAGCAGTTGGCTCCTTACCTCTCTCGCCCTGACCTAGCCACTGTGATCCACGCGATGGTCACCTCCAGACTGGATTATTGTAACTCGCTCTACGTGGGGCTGCCCTTGAGACTGACCCAGAAACTCCAGCGGGTGCAGAATGCTGCAGCGAGACTCCTTACGGGGTCTTCGCTACGAGATCACATTCACCCGGTGCTATACCAGCTGCACTGGCTCCCGATGGAGTACAGGATCAGGTTTAAGGTGCTGGTTTTAACCTTTAAAGCCCTATACGGCCTAGGACCCTCATACCTACGGGACCGCCTCTCCTGGTATGCCCCACAGAGAAACTTACGGTCGTCAAATAAAAACATCTTGAAGGTCCCAGGCCACAGAGAAGATAGGCTGGCCTCAACTAGAGCCAGGGCTTTTTCGGCTGTGGCTCCGATCTGGTGGAACACTCTGTCACAAGAGACTAGGGCCCTGCAGGACTTGACATCTTTCCGCAGGGCCTGCAAGACAGAGCTGTTCTACCAGGCCTTTGGCCAGGGCACAGCCTGACTCCCTCCCTCGGCAATCTTCGCGGAGCTCTGGCCCAATGGTTGCCAGTGGCTTGATTTGAATTAATTTATAATGAATGATTTTAGAGTGTTGTTTGTGCTGTACTTTTGTACTGTTTTATTGTTGTTAGCTGCCCTGAGCCCGGCTTTGGCTGGGGAGGGCGGGATATAAATAAAAATTATTATTATTATTATTATTATTATTATTATTATTATTACACAGTTACCCAATATTATAGTTATATAGCTACATCATGCAATATTATGCAGTGGTTCAAAGTCTTTCAACCACAGTACAAAACATTGTTGCCATAAGAACAACAATCAAGATTCATAACCTTATACTGTAAATGGTAAGTCACGTGTATTGGATATGTATCTACTGTACTGAGGGTGAGAAAAAGAAAAACACCTCACAAATTCACGGTTTGCTATGCATGTGGAGGAGAATAAGCGTAGCATTGAGTTCAGTGGTACTTACTCCCAGGTAAATTGGTATGTGATTGCAGTCTTCATCTGGATAAAACTCTTGACTGCTGTGAAAGTGTGAGAACTTTTAAATTGGCCATGTAAGTTACAATCTGTAACCCACTGTGTACACAAATAAACCACATTCATATCTGACTACCTTTCCATATTGAAAAAGCTCACAAACAGGCAATTGAAACCAACCAACCAACCAATTTTGCAATACAGCTATAAATTAAATCACATTTCACAATCTAGTAATTTTAAGATCATTGCTATTGCCAAACTGCAATTTCCAGAGGGCAATAATAGGCATGTCTAAGACACCATGGATATTTGAGAAAGAACTCTCCAGAATAATTTCCCCACCCCAAATGCTTGCAGAGAAAACTTAAATATACTGCACTAATTCTGAATTGATCCAGTTCAAAACACATTTGACTTCCCCTTAAATTCTCCAGACATCTCATCTGCTGTTCCTGATATTTACCAGCAGGAACAGTAGCTGAGAGCTAGTCTTGCTTCTCAAACAAGGCAATTTCACTGCCTTTTGCATGTGATATGACAAATCTGCTGGGAAACCTGGTGGATTTAAGATTTGCCAGTAGAATAATTGGAGCAGAAATCAGCAATGGATAATATTTCCGTCTCTCAGGACAATTGGGGTTTTTGTGATAGTCTTTATAGAGCGTAGGTTTTCACCATTTTTGAGTCTGTGGCTCCCTTGACCAACTACCTTCTTTCTGCAGCTCCCCTATAAGATTCCAGGTGGAAACCTGTCTTATTTCATCATTTCACGGCTTGGCCTCTCCTTTTTTAAGGCTTAAAATTTAAGTGCTAGAGCTTTGAAAAGGCTTTTAACAATTATGAGTCATTCATTGCCCTGCTAAATGCTGCTTTTGTATGTTGGGGGGGGGAATGAAAACAAATTTAAATAATAATAAATAAGATAATCTGAAAAAAGTATACTAACAAAAAGAAAATACAAACAAAGTGCACTTTGAAACATTTTGAGAGCTTTCCCCCCACGAGGTGGTCAACTCCTCACCCTCAGGGAAATACAACTGGCTAGGCAGTGGGGGGGGGTATGTGAAGCAGAAGTAAATTGTTATTTATTTGGAGTGGGGGAAGCAGAAACCAGTATAAGGCCAGAAGGAAGCACGATTAAACCACAACTAGGGGAAAACTGCCCCCCTTCCAACCCCGCCATCTTCTTTCGCTCCACTTAAGGAAGCCCCAATGGCAACAGGTCTCCCCCCTTAGATTCCTATTTTTAAACAAATGTCTTGCCCTTCCATGGTGGATAGAATTTTTTTAACAGCCGCATTCTAGCCAGTTGCCTAAAATAGGAGAGCAGTTTACTGCGTTCCATCATACCTCTCCTCCCTTTCGACTGTTGCCCATAGGCTGGCCTTCACCAAAGCGAGGTTTAATGTTTTTCCCTCCAATGCCCTGAGACATAGATTCTCAAAGGGCCAAACCTCCGCCATGTGCGAATGTGATAAGGAGATGCCGGAGTCGCTTCAGCACATTATGTTCACTTGCCCCTTATTCCAAGGTGCCACGGGCAAATTTGTTGGGATCAATCATACAGAAATTAGAGGGTACTCCACCAAAATTCCACCTTGCCCAAATCTTGCAGGATAAGGATACCCATACGACCCTGAAAGTGGCTAGGTTCCTGGTCGCTGTCCTTACTCAATAGCGTTGCCAAGGAGCACCACAAGCTAATTAAGGCGTAGTATGCCATTCCATCTTATAGTAGTTTATTGTTATAGTAGTGTTTTAGTGGCTGTTTTTTCCCATGTGCACAGGTTGTTATTTATGTCTTGTTTTTATCTGTATGGGCCTACGGCCGTAATAAATTATTATTATTATTATAGGAGAGCAGTACTGCAGAAAAGGCTCTGTGCCTGGTTGTTGCTAGCCAAGTGCTGTAGAGTTTAGTGTGTTAGGGTGATCAGAGCATACAGAGAGGGACACAGTTCTTGAGATAGCTGGGTTCTGAGCTATTTAGGGCTTTAAAGATGAACATGGCAACCTTCACTTGAGCTAAGACTCAGACTGGCAACCAGTGCAGATCACGCAAAACATGAGGAGAGGCCACTGGAGAGGGAGGGGCTGCCATGGACCTGACCTCCTAGCAGCAGTGTTGCACCCATGAATTAGGATAGCGCAGGGGCAAGGCAGGAAAGCGGCGAGTTTGGGATGGTTTGGATAGCCCTGCAGAGCCAGCCCAGCACACATACCGGGGGTATCCAAGCCACCCAAACCTCTTTGCTACCCTGCTGCACCCCCTCCCCACCCAGGGATGTAGTAGTGCACTGCTGCCAGAAGAATGCCCAGTTATTCATGTCTTTAACAGTTGGGCAAAGTTGCTATTCAAACTACAGGTATTGATCATCCTTATGCAGGAGTTGGGCTGAGAACATCTCGGATAGCCTGCTTTTGTTTTAATATTGCCTTTCCCCCATTTCCAATTGTGAACTTTGTCATAACAGGGCCCAATAAATTACAGCTATAGTTGCTTCTTACCAGCTACAATCTCTCAGTGGTGAGATATCATCCATAAATCTTCCTGACACCATCTTCTATGGCTGGTTTTTTTTATATGTATAAAAAAACCCCAATACACATAGTTTATTCTTGTCTTTCCTTGGCTGGTCACAGGGTTGCTTAGTGGAACTTGTAAATGGAACTTGATGATAATTATGGGAAAACATGGCAGTGGAGGGAAGGAGGAAGTAGGAGTTTCTGTCTGTCCCCAGCCCAAGAGAATGATATAGAGGGCAAACATATTGATGACCACACTAACGGTCACAAAAAATTACTTTCTTCTGATTGTCTGCAGCTACATTCTTGTGCAAAAATTGATAATGGATAGACAACAAAAAAAATTTCAAGACCTATTAAGAGCTAAATGAATTACCTGGTGGGAAACAGGCAGATTGCAGTGGTGGGCTCGTGCCTCAACCCATTTTAGAGCAAAGCTGGAATACCTTAGACTCAGGGATGCACCATAGCACTCTGAACAAAGTTTGGAATTTCCAAAACAGGTGGGGGGAAACAGACCACCAATGCATTGATGCCATTATGGAAACAAGTTCATTTAATTGGAAACAGCAGAATTTGAAAGGAGAGAACTCTGGAACCACCCCAGGCTCCAGCAGCGTTTAGTCC